TGTAGGTCACGCCGACCTTGGCGCCCGTCGTGCGGCGCCACTCCCTGAGTTTCCTGAACTCGGCCTCCGTCTGGCAAGCCAAGACTGTCGGGCCTGCAAGCGCGCGCTCCTTGACGGGGCGCCCCTGACGCACGGCAACACCTGCCATGCACGTGTCAATATGCGGAAGGTGGTAGCTGCAACGGGTGGGGGCGGTTTTGGCTCCTCCTGCTGGCGTGGCTCGGTCGACGACGGATGCAGCGGCTGCGCCGCGGCCGTGGGAGAACTGGAGGCATGGCGGGCGAGCGCGCCCTGCAGCGCCTCAACGACCTGTTTGTCTGATGGCGCGCGCGTCGTGGCATCGGCCTGCTGGGGCATGCCCCTGAGCTCCTGCAGCGGCGACTAGTCCCGCGAGGCCTTTGAAGCTGGGGTCGACTGTCGACCTCCTCGCTGGCGCTTCTGTCGACTTGCCCCCCGCGTCGTCGTGGGCGCGGTTGATGTCGATCCTGCAGTCGCCCCGAGCAGCTGCGGCAACATCAGCGTGGCACCATTCATCGCAGGAGCTCGCCGTGTCCGTTTCGCCTTCGGCACCGCTGAGCCCTGCTTCCCAAACTAAGGGGCAGCCCCTCCCCAGAGGGGGTCACCGCCCCCATCCTTCTCGACGAAGGACTCTGAGGTAGAACCACTCTCATGCATATCAAAACCGCTCATCACCCCGAAGTGGCTCTCGCTCACATTCGCGTCGGTCATGGCGAAGATGATCGACCCGAGGACAACGACGGCCGAGACAGTCTGGCCGAGGAGGCTGCGAGGCTCGTCCTCGCGGTAGCGGACGACGTTCGCCTGAGCCCCCTCGTCGCGCTCCAGCGCACGGAGCAGACCTGCTCCGACGGCGCCCCCCAGCAGGTGAAGCCCTCGAAAACGGCGAAGAACAGCTCCGTCTGCCCCCTACTCGTGAAGTTCAGGAACGCGTGTATGGATATAGTCAGAGGCTGCCTGACCTCTGAAAAAAACAAACGAGCGAGGCAAGTCGACGCCTGCAGCAGCCAAACGCTGCCAAAGAGAAGCTCGCATTCGGAATGCGAAGCCGCAGAGGAAAACAACAGCACCCCTCAGAAAATGTACTGCCTCAAGAAGTTGTAGTACTAGACTGGAGAAAGGTGCAGAATGCTCGACGCATGCGCCCACCCAACTGGATACATGAACGCGCGAGGAAGAGCAATATGGATGGCTACCGCGCAAACAGAAAACAGAAGCAGGCCATTCCCTTCTCTGTCCCGTGCAAGGCTCAGGTCGACTGGCTCTAGAAACGCCGGCGCCTTCACCACGGCCAATGGGCGGCTTCCCTGCCGAAGCGCACTTCGGATCCGCCCGAGATTGGGAATTATCTGGGTCTGGAACAGATGGCGCTGAAAGAGATCTCTCCAGAGTGTGGCAAGAATTCGCCTCATCTGCTGTCTCAGCTCGTCACCAAGGCTTATCGCACAGTGTGCCCGCCATGGAAGGCGGGGCTGAATTGGCGGCGTGCTGATCAGAGGGGGTGCGTCCAGGATGCGGGGGTGAACGAGAGCGGTCCGGACGCATGAGCAGGTGCCAGAGCGGGCCCAGCAGCAAGACTTCCCCCGAGGTCTGAGCTTTGGCCGGTTGCACCTGCTAGATGTGGAATGGCCTCAACGCGAGGCTGAAGGCCATCAGGAGGCATAGGAGAGGCTGGACCATCCATTGCCATCATGGCCTGCTTGGCCGTCCGGCACTTATCCTCTTTCGTAAACGTTGGGCTCGACGCACAACTCGAAGTTTCTCCAACAATTGAGCAGGATCATCGGCATCTTCAGCTTTGCCCTGTGCATGCTGAGCTCGCTCCTTGTGCAGAGTCGCTGGCGCAGAGGGCCGCGCAGCCGCAGACATCACAGCGCCCGCAACCGCAGCAACCACAGCAGCAACATTGCGCCTCGGCGCATGCTCCCGGATCGCCGCCTGCACAGCCGCCGCCACAAGGGAGGGGCCATCAGCAGCTATGGCGCTCATCTATGCCTAGCAAGGGGAGGCCCGGGGGGCAGCTAAACAAATGCGATCGCTTGAGCCAAAATGAATTCAGGAACGCGTGGCCGACGTTTCGGTTACGTCTGACGTCGAAATGCTGCAATAACCCCTTCGCTGCGATCAGGTCGATCAGCATTTGGCGTGTGTAACTCCGCGACAGGTTTCTTAACATGACCGTGGTGCCCTTGTCCGCCGCGCGCTCGCTGTCCAGCACGTCTGCGGGGGGCGGCGGAGGGCCCCCCAACCCCGCCGCGCGCCTTCGCCTCTTCCCCTGCCCGCGCGAACGCGCCAGGGCCCGACTCGGATGACGCAGGCGCTGCCAGACAGGCTTGGCGTCGTCGGGAGGCGCACGGGCCAGCGAACCTGGGACGGATACGTGCCATGGGTCGTCGGACCAATGCGGACCCCACTGATTCATCAGCTCGGCGGGCTTTGGCCAGGAACCGACAACGTCAGCACGGCCGCCCGCAAAAGGCTCGGGGTGGGCCACGGCACCCCGCCGGCCGCCATGGGTCGGCTGGCCCTGCCCAGGGCACATACCCCGCCGCCCTGGTGCCGAGCGACGTGCCGACCGGAGTGGTGCGGACGGCGTCGCTGGCGCCGAGCGAGAGCAGCCTGGCGACGGCGGCCTCCAGGGGCAGCCTGGCGAGAGCAGCCTGGGCAGTCGTCGCCGTGTCCTCGCTCACCTCCTGGCCGACCTCGCCCGCGCCAGGCAGAGCCTCCGCCGCGCCCTCCGCCGCGGCCGCGCCGGGCTCCCCGCCAGCCGCGCCGAGGCCCTGCCGCAGGGCGTTCCCGCGGTGCAGCCACTCCGCCGCCGAACACTCCTGGGCCATCCCCGGCCGCGGCGGGCGGCCAGGCCCCCCGGCCACGGCGGCGACACTGCCAACCAGGACAGGAAGGATGCGCGAGAAGGGTGCAAGGGCCTCGGACGCCCATTTCGAAGCGCTTCGAGCGGGGCGCGGCCACCGAAAGTGTCCAAGGATGGACACAGGAAGTGGATGCAAGTTACCCTTGGGAGAGATGCCTGTCCTTACTATGCGGGTCGACTGTACTCCTCTCCGAACGCGGCCGGACCGGCACGGCCCGCGGGAGCCGGGCCCTGCACGCGGAGGACGTCGCTCGGGGCGGGCGGTGGCGGCGGGGCTGCGCGGCAGTGCCCCTGCATCGTCTCCAGGCGACCGTGCCCCCGCGAGCCAAAGGGGCGGCTTGAGCCAAACGGGCCAGGGGGGCGTCTCGGGGCTCTCCGGGGGTCCTTGATACCCCGGGAAGCAAACAGTAAACCCCCCGGCGATATCGTTAGCACAGAAACTAAAATGAATAATTATTTTGGGCGACGCCCTCCGGCGATATCGTTAGCACATAAAACATAAAATAAAATAATGGATTAATTTGCCCCCCCCGGGCCCGAAGCTGGCGGCAACGTGAGGCGACAGCCTGAAGAACCAATGCGCACGAACGCTTGCCAATGGGTTCCCGCCTTGCTAGAACACTGGAAAACTGACGCGCATCGGAAAGCAAAGGTAAATCAAACATGACAAACAATGAAATCACCGCAAGCAAATATACTTGAAAGGACCCCCTAAAGGAATCCCCGAGGAATCTCAGAAGGAAGCTCACGCATAATCTCAAAGGAACCCTATTGGAAATCCAAAGTAATCTCAAAGGAACCCCACAGAAATCGCAAAAGGATCTCAGCGGCAGCTCAAACGAACCACCAAGGAATCTAAGGAATCTGGAAAACGCGGGCTCGCGTGGACATAAGCAAACCCTATTGCGACCGCAATAGGGATTTTTTTTTTTTTTTTTTTTTTTTTTTTTTTTTTTCAGGGGATCCTATGGGAGAGTCCACGGAGGGATATCGCAGACGGATTCCGCGACCCCCCCCGCGATATGTTAGCACATTTATTGAACATAAAATAATCCACGGGCACCGGAGGTCGATGTGATGCTCCCTTCAGGGATTGCCGAAGGAATGTCGGAGGAACTTGAAAGGACCCCCAAAGGAATCCCATAATAATATCACAAAGAATCCCACGCATGATATCAAAGGAACCAATGGAAGTTCAAAGCAATCTCAAAGGAGCCCCACAGAAATCGCAAAGGCATCTCAGCGGCAGCTCAAACGAACCACGAAGGAATCTAAGGAATTTGAAAACGCGGGCTCGCGTGGACATAAGCAATCCCTATTGCGACCGCACAAACGAAATTGAATGGTTCAGGGGATCCTATGGGAGAGTTCACGGAGAGATATCGCAGACGGATTCCGCGACCCCCCCCGCGATATGTTAGCACATTTATTGAACATAAAATAATCCACGGGCCCCGGATGTCGATGTGATCCTCCCTTAAGCAATGGGGCATCAAAGGGATATGACCGGAACCTCAAGGACCCCCAGAATAACATCAAAGGAACACCAGAGGAGTCTCAAAGGAGTCCCAAAATAATCACAATGGAAACGGCAAGGAATCTCAAAAGAAGCCAATCGGAGTATCAAAGGAATCTCTGAGGAATCTCACAGAAACGCACAGAATCACAGGAAGCGACTCTGGGCAGGTGTGCCTTGTCGCTGGGCTCTGGACTACAAGGGGACCGGGCATTCAGAGGCTTGTGGAGGCCTTTCTGGATGCCTCCTGGGAACCTCTGGGGACCTCCCCTCCGAGGGACCTCTGGTGACCTGCGGGGGATATCGCTTCCGCCTCGGCCCCGGTGCCCGAAGCGTTATAATTTCCTCTGATGAGGGGGGGGGGGGGGGGGGGGGGGGGGGGAGGGGGGTTTACTGATTGCTTCCCAGGGTCTGGGAGGCCTCTTGGGCCGTCGTGGACGCCATCAAGGCCGAACAGTCGCATATGCCAAAACTCTACGATTTCCTTCGGCACCCTGCCTCGAAGGCCCACGGTGGCCCCAAAACGGGCAGAGAGGGCCCCAATGAAGAACAGCAGCACCCGGGGGATGCGCAGCGGCCCTCCCCCCGCGCCGCCTGGAAGTCGGGCAGGTCGTCTGGCACGTCGCCGGAGAAGTCCTCCGGGGCGGCAACATCGGGTGCTGCGATGAGTGCCCCTGGCCCAGGGCATCCCCAGGATTCTCGGGGTGGCCCAGACGGCCCCCAGAGAGCCCGTCACGAGGCTTAGAGAGCCCCTGAGGCTGCAACGTGGAGCGAGAAGGGGCACCTTGGGCCTGGAGCACTTTTAGCAACACCCGAAAGCACGCGCGCCCGCGCGGGCAAGCCAGGAACAGCCCTTCGCATACAATCGAAATGCTGTCACAAGGAGCCCCAGATAAGGAACGAGGCCCCTTGTTTCCACGAGTTCCCCGTCCATTTTCCAAAGATAAACCAAAGGACAGCCACTGACAAACTGCAAAACGACAATTAAGGAGAACTGGGCTTCTCCCCAACGACAAGGGTTCCCTCTTCAGCAGGAGGAGGAGGAGGAGGAGGAGGAGGAGGAGGCCAAAACCAGAGCCGAGACGCCCCGCGGTGGGCCAGCTTGGAGCCTTCACTGGCGCTGCTGCCTTGGCGACGGGGTCTCTTCTCAGGCGATCAACGAGCCGCGAACGCCCCTGCTGACGACCCCTCCCAACTCCACGGGGGGGCCAGGAAGGGGGCATGGAACACAAGTCTGGTCTCCATGGCCAAACTGATTTATCAATGCCTTACCCCTTTGGCATCCAGAACCTGAGGCAGCAGTAGGACCCTGGACAAATCGTCGATCGCACAATCTGGGCGACGAGCAAAAAGGGCATTCCAGAAATGACGGCGTCGACGAATCGAATGGTCGACGTCTCACCGTTGGCGGAGGCCGTCGCGATGCCTGCACAAGCCGCAACAAATAAATTAGCCTGGCGAAGGACTCAACCATATGCAGTTGTGAGCACAGTCCTTGTATACACCGCATTCAGAGGAGCTCTCTATAGGGCCACGAAACGTGTGAGAACTGTGCCAAAATTTGTCCGGTGAGCGCATGCGAAAGCAGCCACTCGGGCCGTCGGTGGGATTCCCTGTGGGGCCACGAAACGCGTGAGGGGTGTGCCGAAATAGGTGTGCGTGACGCCTGCGAACGCAGCCATTGGGGCTGTCGGTAGAGCTCCCTATGGCGCCGCGAAGCGTGTGATGGGTGTGCCGAGATGGGCGTGGTGGGCGCATGCGAACGCAGCCACTGGCGTCTTCAGTGGAGCTCCCTGTGGGGCCACGACACGCGTGAGAGGTGTGCCGAAATATGTGTGCGTGACGCATGCGGGCGGTGGCACTGGGGTCTTCGGTGGAGCTCCCATATTGAGCCACGAAACGCGTGTGAAGGAAGTTCCGAAAAGTGTGCGTGACGCATGCGGGCGGTGGCACTGGGGCCTTCGGTGGCTTGCCGAAGTGAGAGTGCGTGACGCATGCGGGCGGTGGCGCTGGGGCCTTCGGTGGAGCTCCCTGTGGGGCCACGAAACGTGTGAGGGGTGTGCCGAAATAGGTGTGCGTGACGCATGCGGGCGGTGGCACTGGGACCTTTTGTGGAGCTCCCTGTGGGGCCACGAAGCGAGTGAGGGCTGTGCCGAAAATGGTGTGCGTAACGCATGCAGGCGGTGGAACTTGGGCCTTCGGTGGAGCTCCCTGTGGGGCCACGAAACGTGTGAGGGGTGCGCCGACATGGGTGTGCGTGACGCATGCGGGCATTGTCGCTGGGGTCTTCGGTGGAGCTCCATGTCGGGCCACGAAACGCGATAGGGGTGTGCCGAAATGGGTGTGCGTGGCGCATGCGGGCGGTGGCACTGGGGCCTTCGGTGGAGCTCCCTTTGGGGCCACGAAACGTGTGAGGGGTGTGCCGAAATAGGTGTGCGTGACGCATGCGGGCGGTGGCACTGGGGCCTTCGGTGGAGCTCCCTGTGGGGCCACGAAACGTGTGAGGGGTGTGCTGAAATGAGCGTGCGTGACGCATGCGGGCGGTGGCACAGGGCCTTCGGTGGAGCTCCCTGTGGGGCTACTCAACGACGCATGCGGGCGGTGGCGCTGGGCCCTTCGGTGGAGCTCCCTGTGGGGCCCCGAGACGTGTGAGGGGTGATGGTGATGATGACGGCACTGGTGATGACGATGGTGGTGATGAGGGCGGCCGTGATGAGGACGATGATGGTGATGTAGATGGTGGCGATGACGATAATAATGATGATTCTGATGATGACGGGAGGAGGGAGGAGGGGGAGGAGGAGGAGTGAGGGACGCGGGGCGCTCTCTTCAAAACGAGGACCCAACACCACACGATGGTTGGGAATGAAGGCAGCATTGCCAGCGGAAGCCCTGCGAAGCCTCCGGAAGCAAACGCGCACTCCCCAAGAGAAATCCTCGCTGGCGCACCCAGGAGGTTCCAGCATCGACCGTGTATGCTGGCGAGTAAAAGGGACTAGGCTAGTGGGGGCAACCTTCATAGAAAGCGATCGGCTTCTTAGAATGGTCCTGGCCCGCGAAAGCTATGTCCTGCACCCCTGATCCTAGGCGCCTTCCGAGCTCAGACGGTCGCCAAGGCGCTTGGGAAGGTCAGGGCAGCAGCGGGAGCATTTCAGACCGCTCCTGGACAAGCCTGGGAACTTCAAATGTTAGGGCCTGCACGCTCGAGTCAAGTGCACGCCGTCGCTAGCTTGCTCTGGGGCGCTGGGACAACTCCAAACCAGAAGTGCTGGCACCAGTGACGGCCCTGCAGGACGAGATAGGCAGAGCACGCGGTCCATTTGGTGAGGAGGTGGTCCGCGTTTCGGTTTGCCTGCGGGTTCGATCTGCTCCTGCGGGCTTATCGCGTTGCCCCGAGACCGCCACAGGGGCTGCCTCGGTGCTTTGACAGGGGATTCGTCGACCTCTATCCCAGGCTTTGGGAGGTTTCCGACTGGACCAGAAATCTGGGGCCAAACCCTGGGATATACGATGGGGGGGGGTCCATCCTTGGGGGTGTATCCCAAGGTTTTCCCCTTGTCCTGAGCGGCCGAACTGGCGGAATCCGGGGATTGGGGGAACACATCGCCGACGATGTTCCAGAAGGATAATACGGAGCCCTGTCGGTACACAGCAGCGCAGAGGGGCGGGGGCACAATCAAATGCGGCTCGGAAGATATAGTCGGGACAACGCGCGGTCGGGATCCCGTGGCTAGGCCTCGGCGATTTCCTGGCCCGCAACGGAACAATGCATATCCGTCTATGCGAGACGCGTGCAAGGAGCACGTGCACGGAAGTGCTTCCATCATGCTGCTGCACGCCGCGGTACGGTCCAATATTAAACCCCATTGGGGTGCTATTCCGCCGATTGGGCCGCGGAGTGAACGGCATGAAACCGGATTAAGCGGGATGACGCCCGATTAGGCGGGATTAAGCCGGATTGAGCCGCACTTCGGACCAGGGCAAAATCTGAATTTGACCTCCCAGGAGTTGGATCCAAACTAACATTGTGCACCGCTGGAGAAGTGCGATGTGCGAGCATTTTGGCAAGAGGCGGGGTGAAATAGATCTGGCCAAAATCTCGAGGCGAACTCCCCCTCAAACCGGGCGAGGGACCATGCCAGCTGCAGTTGTGAATACTGCGACGTGGCACCGCTTTCGGTGGAGCTTCGTATGGACCCACGCTACGTGTGAGGGGTGTGCCGACATCGACAAGGAACCGCATGCGAACCCTGCCACTGGGGCCTTCGGTGGAACTTTCCTTGGGGCCACGGAACGTATGAGGGGTGTGCCGAGATGGGCGGGGAGCCGCATGCGAACCCTACCACCAGGGCCTTTGGTGGACCTCTTTGTGGGGCTACGAAGCCTGCCGAAATAGGCGGCGAACCGCATGCAAACCCTGCCACTGGGGCCTTCGGTGGAGCTCCTTATGGCGCCACGAAGCGTGTGAGGGGTGTGTCGGGATGGGCGGGGGGCCGCGTGCGAACCCTGCCACTGGAGCCTTCGGTGAAGATCCCCATCGGGCCGCGCAACGTGCGAGGGGTGCGCCCACCTGGGCGGGGAACCGCATGTGAACGCTGCCACTTGGGCCTGTGGTGGAGCTTCCTCTGGAACCACGAAACGTGTGAGGGGCAGGTGCGAACCCTGCCACTGGGGCCTTCGGTGGAGCCTCGCATGGGGCCATGAAACGTGTGAGGAGTGTACCGAGATGGGCGGGAAGCCGCATGCGAGCCCTACCACTAAGGCCTTCGGTGGAGCTCCCTGCGGGGCCACGAAACGTCTGAGGGGTTTGCCGAAATGAGTGGGGAATCGCGTGCGAACCCTGCCATTGGGGCCTTCAATGAAGCTCCTTCTGGGGCCGCGCAACGTGTGAGGGGTGCGCCAATATGGGCGATGAACCGCATGCGACCCCTGCTTCTTGGGCATTCTGTGGAGCTTCGTATGGGGCCACGAAACGTATCAGGGGTGTGCCGAAGTGGGCGGGGAACCAGGTGTGAACCCTGCCACTGGGGCCTTCGGTGGAGCTCCCTGCGGGGCCACGAGACGTGTGAAGGGTGTGCCGAGATGGGCGGGGAGCCGCAAGCGGACCCTGCCACTGGGGCCTTCGGTGGAGCTCCGTATGGGGCCACGAAACGTGTGAAGGGTGTGCCGAGATGGGCGGGGAGCCGCATGCGAACCCTGCCACTGGGGCCTTCGGTGGAGGTCCGTATGGGGCCACGAAACGTGTGAGGGGTGTGCCGAGATGGGCGGGGAGCCGCATGCGAACCCTACTCCTGAGGCCTTCGGTGGAGCTCCCTGCGGGGCCACGAAACGTGTGAGGGATGTGCCGAAACAGAAGCAATGCGAACGGCAGAGGCAAGGATGGGAGGAGAGGACGGGGAGAAGGAGAGGCAGGAGACGCGGGGCGCTATGTCTTCAAACGAGGACCGAACATCACATAATGGTTAGGAAACTTCGCCCAGCGAAGGACCCAACCAGATGCACTTGTGAGTACCGCAGTTGTCAATCTAGTCTGCGGTGGAACTCCCCATGGGGCCACGAAACATGTAAGGGGTGTGCCGAATTTGGTAGCGGGGACGCATGCGGGAGGCGCCATCAAGACCTTCGGTGGAGCTCCCTATGGGGTCACGAAGCGTGGAGG